AAGGTATTGAACTTTCAGCAATGACACAGCAATTTCCATGCCACTCAGGTCTCCACATGCTTGAGGGAAGATGGGGAAGCTCACACRTACAAACATGGGCAGTGACATTGTCTTCATATGGCAATACCCCCCCCTTCAKATTYGCTGGCCTACAAAGTCACCCTTCTGAATAGATCCCAAACTAGAGCATTTACAGCAAAACCTTATCTCCACAAATCTATTTATAACCCTTCTATGAGCTAAATTCCAAAGATTTTTTTTTTGCCATTTAAGGACATAAACCAGAAAATGTGCAAACGGGTGGGTTCCACTTTGCTTCACACCCTCCACAGCAAGTCTCAGGGGGAAACGCTCTTTATTTGTATTCTGTACACAAGAGGGTGTGGAAACATGTAATGTTTCCATTGCTTAAAATCTTTCCCTAATATTTTCCCCACTGCAGCTTGGCCTGGCCCCAGGGGTTACAATTTCAACTGCTCTCATCAACATGRGACTGAACAAGCAGATAAGGTCCAGCAGCTTGCTGAGCAGTTTTGYTTCCAAGCTTATGACACTATGGTGGATCTGTAAGCAAAAGCTGCTTTTGTGCACTTTTGGAACACGCCTGACACTTCACAGGAAGACTGAAGAAGTTTCAGATGCAGCACAAAAATTCCATCTTCAAGCTCCCAGGAAACTCCCTCTAGACATGACAGCGCAGTCTCACCACTGAGCCTGGTTCACCTTCCACCTCATTCCCTGGGCTTCAGTGGTTTTATATCCATAATCTAGAAGTCAAATACATATCTGTGTGAACAGACCAAGAAAAAAAGTCTTAAGATCTTCTGTGAAATCAGTCTAAAATAAGGTTTTAGCCAGTGCTTAAACCTGGCATTTTGGTATTGCAAATTCTTTATAAACACCTATGAACTAAGCCCCATGGGCTAAATACAGAAGGGTACAGATTATCCTTTACTTGGACACAGAGAAACAGACACACAGCCATTAAGTAACTCACTAGATATTTATGACCACAGGAAAAAATTCAAAGGAGAAACTACTCCAGTGGCTTAAGATATTGTTTTCCCTTTCTTTCCCTGTCACTTCCTCAGCTATTTGGTTCTGCCCTCGCTGCAAGCCAGCAGGAGAGTCTCCACAAGCAATTCTTCCTGGCTTCAACCCATAAACACTGCTGTAGACAAGATTTTCTGATCAGGAGGTCCCCCTGTGCTTCAGAGGGGGGCAGGCACAAGGGGCAGGAAGAGGGCAAGAGCCATCAGTTTGTGGTGGTGATTCCTGACCACAGGTASAGGAGTTGGGTGGCCCAGCTGAGAACTGGTCACTTCTGTCCCTGGATGCTTCGAGACAAAGCAGCAGCCTGGGGGTTTGCAGCAGACAAAGACCAGAAGGCAGCAATTCCTCACAAGGGCAGCTGGCCATGCTCCTAGACAGGGACAAAGTAGGGACCACACACTGGTAATGCTGGAATCTGCTGGGCAGTCAAGCTGCTGGCCCCACACCGTTTGTAGGCACTAAGCACAGTTCAAAGGAAAAAAAAAACCCACCTGAAAAGCAGCATTTCTTAATGCAGGATGGAAACTATACAGCTAACACACTAGGGCTAGYAGCTGAGTAATAGTGTTACACTCCCCTTACCTTTTTGGTTGATCAAATCCATTTCAAGAAATGTAGGAGCAAGCTCCCCTGGGGGTGGAAGGGAYCCCAAATTACAGAGTACTGAGCATCCTTCCCTGCTGGGCTTAGTTGAATGTACAAAAGCACCAGCAAAGCAAAAAAAAATGTTATGTAGTTCAACTGTCCTGTGACCTCGGTGTTTCATCCAGAAAGGTCAGATCTAATCTGTTCTTCAAATGCTGCCGAGTCAAATTTCAGCCATAGCCAAACCTTTGACAGGCCATTCAGAGGCAGGCAGCAGCACTGCATCTTCCAAGCAAGACGAGCACCAAGAGGAAGTGCTACCCATAAGCAGTGCCTGCCTTCCAGTACAACTGCTCCCCCAAAATCCATTCTTACCCTTGGAACCACTCGGCAGTTCTGCACAACACCAGCAAACCATCCCCTGCACATGCACATTTCCCAAGCCTCCAGGAAGGCAGCAACTTTCTTGTTACAAGCTGCCAGGGGGTAGTTACTAAGAGGAGACAATTTTTAAAGAATGAAAGCTTGCTTTGAAGGCAGACTCCCACTCTCTGCAGTCATAGGCCTGTGTGCCTCAGGCTTTGTACACCTGGAGCCCAATCCTGCAAACTCCCTGTAAAGCTCCTCTCAAAGGCAGTGAAAGGTTCACAGGACTGCACTTCCCCTTCTGCCCTGTTACCTTTTTTGGTGCTTTCTCCCCTAGCCAGGAGAGTCCAGACAAGGCCTGCAGATGGACAGTTATGATCTCTTAGCCCTCTCACTCTTAGGCATATATGGTTTCCTGTCTCTCTTTGTTCACACACTGCGATCAAATACTCCAAGCTGCACCCTTGGCAGGCAGAGGTTAGAGAACTCCACTGATCTGTAATACAAAATAAAACTCAGGCAGCCCACAAGAATAGGTCTCATGTGAGCAACTACTGAGAAATCAGAGTACTTTCAACATTAGAACATTCAAGTTGTATTTGTGTTGCAGGAAGGAAGTCCCGCAGGCTCTCACTTTTCTACAATGAAAAGATCACCCCCACAGGCAGGGCTGCTCCAGTTGTGCAAAGGGAAGCGTGAAACGAGGAGGACTTTCAGGCAGCCTCTCGGCAGACCCTCTCTGGCATCTTCATAGGACAGAAGCCACCTCCTAGCAGGCAGCCATGAGAGCAGCCTTGCCCTACCTTTACAAAGGTACAGTCTCCCCACCTGGAAAAAGTAGCATTGTGCCCTAACCCTGTATGGGACTGAACAGATGCTCCATGTCACATGTGGCCCCAAGAACAAGGAATTAAAAACCTCCCAATCTAAATGCACTTCAATTTTCCCTCTAATGCCAGCAAGAGGAACTTAAACCCCCCACACTTTCCTTTCAAATAACCTATGTTTCAGTGTCACTATTGCATTGTGCATGTCAGTGTTAGAGAAGAATTAAAAGCACAAGGGAAGTTACYCCTTTCTCAGGCTGCTCCATGTCAGAATAATGCTATGAGTATATGAAGCAGCAATTGTGGAAAATCCCTTATTCTTCTAAAACATGYTTACATGACTCACTGTCAAAGTGTATTCAGAGCACACAGGACTCCCCTTGCATCCCTGAATCCATTAATGACAGTATTGATTTCCCCAGGACTAATCCTGTGAATGAAGGCTGTGGAATTGATCCTCTTGTCATTGCAAGTGGAAACAAAGAGGAGTTTTCAGGAAATACAAATTATTTCAATTGAGTCTCTTGTTCACAGACATCTCATCTGGAATTTCTTCCCTGCCATCATGATGTAGGTACTACATTAACRTATACAGGTTTTATTGACTAAGATTGCCTATCAAAGCAACTTCCCCAAAAAAGGGAAGTTCAAAATTTCACTTTCTTCGAATATGTTTAGAGAAATTCTGCCCTGCTTTACCTTAAAGGCAATTAAATTATGCAAATGGACTAAAAATTTTGCTCCATTTGTAATTCATGTTAAAAGAGTCTGTTCCATTGGTTCTTTCCAGAGAAAGAACAGAGGCAGAGTCCTAGGGTTCTTCAATGGCAAATCATGCTAACACAATAATTCACAGTATGGTATCTAAAATAGACAAATTATAATAAATACATGGTTCTCACAAAAAAAAATCCCACTCTGCCTCCTTATTTTCTTTGAGCTGCTGCCAAGGAGGGAATGTGTTATTTTGCCAAATTATTCTCCTGTCCGCCTTTTAGCAGAGGAAGCCTTCTCAGGCAAATTGCACAAAAACTGCATACTCTGAAAAGAAAWTCTCCTCTGAAAACAAATACTCCATAAAAAAAGTCATTTTAAACCAGTTATGTTTTCATTCTTCCAAACAACATATGACATATGAAAGAAATCCATTCTATCCCTGCAGGTCTGGCCAGAGATTAGCAGCTTGGTCAGTGTCTGCAGCTACAAAGAGCTCATCTGCAGCTAACTTCCTCCCTCCCTTCATTTTCCCAGCCCTTTCCCTGAGAAATTCCCTGCTATGCAGACTATCTTGCTATCAGCAGCCAGCCTTGCACAATGCTTTCCAACCGTCCCAACATGTCAAAGGAGCTGGGGAGCCTGCTACCCAGCTCCCCCCAGCAGCACTCTGACAAATGCAGACCCGCATACACAAAAAATCAGACTTTTAAGAGCTTCAGTCCCACCCAAGTGCATTTTTTTTCTCCCCCCCCCCCTTCTAACAGGAAAGACAACTTCACAAGAAACATTCTGGCAATATGCTGCTGCGCATGTTGAAGGCTGAAAACAAAAACTGATGCCATCTATTGTCAACAATACTTCTGTGAAAGGCTGCCATGAGGGACATATGCTTCAACAAGCATCAGATCACTTACATTAACCAGARCTTTACTGTATCTGTATCAGTTACTCCTGGAGACTGCCCTTACAGTCAGGCTGCCCCGAAAGTCCACATATTAAGTTACAAAATTAAAACCAAATCACCAGACCTTAACGCACTAAAAACTTTCTCATTGAAATGCCTTTTAAAAAAATGCGGGGAAAAAAGAAAAAAAAAAAAAAAGAGAGAAGAAAGGGTAGAGAAGTTACTGCTCCACTAACCAAAGTGGAGTCTAAGTCCACTAAAGGATCGAAAATGGAGTGGTGGGACCAGCACAGATCCTGCCTTGCACCTCCTCGTTGAGGTACAGCGGGGTGAGCAAACACGCGTCCCCCTCCACCCGCCCGGCACGGCAGGGAGAGCTCCCTCMGTTCACCACCAACATCTGGAAGGGGGGGCACACACAAACAGAGAGAGGAGGAGAGCGCAAATCGGCTCCGGCAGCCCGTTCGGTTCCGCCTGCTGCTCAATCCGCAACGCAAACGCGCTCAGCCCGGCTCGCCCCCAAACAAACGCGTCCCGTAAGTCCTTACCTCTGGCTGCAAAGTTTTCAGCTAGTAGGAAGGAAATGAATAACTGGCTGCTTGGGCAGAAGCGCTGCGAGAAAGGCACAGCAGCAGCCTCACACACAGCCCTATTCAATAAAAGTACAGCTTTTCCTTGGCCCCTCCCAAAAGTCAATGCTAAGTGAATACATATCCCTTATGTTTACAATTGGCAGGCAGCGGAATGCATTGTCCTCAATTTATTCTAATAGGCAGCCAATGACGACGCGCAAGCCAAGGTGGGTTCAGCCTGCCTGCAGAGATGCCTGTCATTCCCCAGGCATGCTCAGGAAGCCACTCATCAGAAAACCAAGACCTAAAAAGCTCCGAAAATYCGTGCAAGCTGCCAAAACTGTCTTGCTACATGCCCTTTTTTGGTTATCCTTAGCAGGGCCTCTGAAAGTAAATCCTCTGTCAGGAACAATCATAAGAAATGTTAATCTTGGAGAAAGAGGCTGTCTTGTTGAACACAAACGGAGCTTAAAAAAAGGAAATGCACTGAATGAAAAGGGACGMAGTAAACATATTTACTTTTTGCACCAGTTTTAAAAAAAAAATCAAATACATAATTTCACCACAGCTAAACTTCATTGTATTTTTTTTAACGAGGACCACATGTAAAAGGCAACAGAAACACTCTTCTGTGCAAGCTTGATTCCGCAGAAAAAGAGAGACACCAGTGGGAAAGGCACATGAAAGATGAGTTGGCAGGCTTCACAGCCTGATTCCATTTCAAACAGTACAATAGAAGTTACCGATAGAATAGCCATGTTCTGAAAAATAACTTTTAAAGAGATTCAAAACCTTGATGGTGATCCTTGGCAAGCTAGACTAGTTGGATACACAGGTTTAGTTTATAGTTCTACRGCTATTCATAGAGACATTAAAACTGATTCATTTTACTACAAGAATAGCCCTGAATCTATTATGACTAATACTTTCAGTGTCTTTGAATATAATCAGTAAAGTAAACCCTAGATTAATTTTTATCTTTGTTTTGCTTTAGTGACCGCACACTGTTGGTAAGTTTGCAAATTATGGAGATATCTTAAAAACTAACAGATCATGGAAACATACAAAGTACATAAACTAATTAAATTTGGAAATAAAGATGAAAATTATTGCCTGGAAACCCGCACAGAGATCCTAACATGCCCATGTCCCAGCCACTAAGAAAGGCTGCAGGAGAGCAGCTGATGCTCTAAGGGAACAAGATTCCAGTCCAGGAGATATTCTGCAGATTCATATTTGACAATAACATATACAAAACTAGTTAGGGGGAAACTATGTGTGAGATGACTTTGCAGCTGAATGGGCTAAACTATTTTAATGCCTTTCTGGGGCTTTTTTCTGGCCACTGGACCCACGGATTTAGTCACATGTGAAATGCAAGAAGGATCCAATCCACAGACAGTAGACTAATTTTTATAGTATTAAAAATAAGTCAAAGAGAGCCAAATCTATGCAGTTTCACAGCAAGAAATCATAATTATTCTAGTGACATTTTAAATTTCACTGCTTTAATATATGAAGCAAAAAGTTGTGCTTGTTTTTGGAAGGCACTTTTTTCCTTCAGTTTTATAACCCTTTGGAAAGTTCTTCTAATGCCAGACAGCTCCCATGATGTGGCTATGATGGTTTTAAATATTAAAAGTAATACCTACAGCATATGTGTAACTTTGTTTTGCAGGATTTACTAGACAAGAGAGAACAAAATCCTTATTCTCAGTCATTCCATTAGCTACAGAAATTATTAGCCTATGTATCCACGACCCAATAAAAAGAGGTAGTGACATTATTTAGGAAGGCATTATAAATCTCTGCTGGATCTTAGCATCCCCTAGATTTTTAGGATGTAAAACACTGAAGAATCCAGGCTAAGAAAAAAGAAGGATTAAGGGATGTGGACTCTTAGAACAAAAAAAAAAGGAATGTTAGAAGAACTCTCAGACTCTCATTCCAGCATGGCCATCAACCTCTGCAATCTCAGTGTCCACTGCCAACAGGGATGCAGAAGACATCCAGTACCTAAAGCTAAAAGAAACTGGGGGTTGTTGTGATAATTTACCTTTTCTCTTTCATTACTTCCAGGAGTTTGATATTCCCTTGTCAAAGCTCCAAAACTCTAGGTTCCAAGTCATCCTTTCATTAAAATTCCTCAAAAAACTCACAATTCCCCTTTGGGGAAATTACACCAAGAAAAGTAAAGTGTCYATCCTTCTCACTCAGTTGAATTTCACTGAGAAGAACTTTTGAATTCMATGACTTGAAGCTTTGAGGACAACAAACTGTCACAGACAACAGTTTTCCTGGAGATACGGCAGGAAACCTGAGCTTTGAAGAATGCAGAGGTAAATCCTAGTGGGTGCTCAGTTGCATCCTGTGACAGGAGCCATCTGCAAATGCCTACTGTAAATAGAGTTATAACATGCCTCAATCCACAGTTGTTATAATTTAGGGAACTACCATGGTAGTCTCGCCCTCACCACGAGGACTGCCACTCTAGCCACAYCTTCCCTTTTGCTCTAACACTGAGGACCTTTGTGTAACAGCACAGAGCTAGAAATATTTCTGGGACTTGAATAACCCAACTCCTAGTTTGTGATTGCACATATAAGACATAGAAAAAAATGGTATATTCAGAAATTAAACCCCTAAATCAAGAACCCTTTTAATATCAATACCTTATCACAATAGGGGCCTTGCAAGTGTTCATTGCTAAGCTCTCGGGCTTGATAACTCAGGACAAGGGTGGGACTGCTTGTGATAAGAGTCAAAGCACTTAAACATTTTGGGTTGTTAGTGCATTCTTGGAGATCTAAGCCTGCAGTTTCTCCCTCAGAATAATCATGTTAGAAGTACCTGGAAATCTCTGTCAAACCTGTCAAACTCACAGGTTTATCAATTTTTCCTACAAAACTTACAATCTAAAGCTGAGGTAAATCTGTGGTCGAGAAAGCACAGGGTAAACCATCCCCCTGGGAGAGGAAACCTGGTTGCTGTGTACAGACACTGAACCACTTGTATTTTGGCACCACAAAGTCCTCAAGACTCAGCAGGCAGTGGTGGCCAGAGAGTCCACTTGGGTTACTGCTGGTCCAGCTTCCAAAGCTTCCCAAAGCAGCTGTGATGGCAGAGCTGTGATCCCTGCCTGGAAGATGTCTTTGGGGTATTTATGGAGGAAAATACTCCAATTTTTTAAATCAAGTAGTTTTTATTATTGAACTTCCAAAAATTATTGTTCTTCTCTTTATTGAGCAGGGTGTATCGGCTGCTGAGCAGCACTGAGTGTCCCACCACTGCCACTGCAAAGCCTTCAGCTGCCATTTGTAACCCTGTCAGCCCCAAAGGCCAGCAGCCACTGCAAACACAGCTACAGCTGAACTCAGCTCCCAGCCCAGCAAACACCCTCGGACCCAGCCAGCAGTKCTCTCACCCCACAGCTTTGGGTTCCCTTCCCAGCACTCTTCACACCCATGCAGTGTAACACTTGACTGCACAAAGCTGCCATCCTTTGCCTCTGAGAACAACAGGGATGGGAAGGAGTTTTAACCCTTCCAGAGGCAAACATACCCCTGGAGGGTCACCTGGCTGCAGCAGAGCCTTGGTCCCACTGTGTAAACCCTCAGGGAGCTAAAGGGGAGCTATGTCTTGAGAAGAGAGATAGGAAGGACTCGCTTCCCTGGCAGCATTAAAAAAAAACTTCTCCTGCTCCTCACTGTGTATTGGAGTATTCAGCCCCTGACATACCAAGCACAGCTGCATCATCCTTCACTCTCAGCCCTTCCAGAATATAAGTGCACAGTGGAACGCCAGGATCAGAGATGAGGAGAACTTTTGTGATATTACACAAGATGTCCAGGCTAACCAGACCTTGCAGGAAGCCTTGTTGCATATACTAGGATAGATGATATCTGTGCCACTTACTTGGGTGGAAGGAAGGAGGACTAAACCTCCCCTGTCCCTCAAGGGACACAATTRCCTCAGGAGCTGAGGTGGATGAGAGCACACCCAGAACAAAGTCAGCACCAGGAGCAGCTGAGGAGATGGCTCACCAGTTCACACTTGGGCTCTCCAGCAGACTTGGCTTTTTCCYTCCCTTGAGGAGCAACAGGCAGGAAATGTGCCGTGTACCCTGGGCTGGCTCACACCTCTCCTCTCGCTCCAGGCCAGAGCACAGAGCATGGTTTGGCTCTGTGCATTTTCTCATTCCTCCTCACAGCATAAAGAGAGCACAGTGTGGGTTTCCCCCGCCCCAGCAGACGAGTTCTAAATGATGCCATGGCTGTGCCATTTCCACAGCTCATCTGAAATCAGCCTCATGTCACACACAGAGGCTCCAGCCAGGTGCTGGATCTCACAGCTGTGGCCCTCTGACACGAAGGTGAGTAAGCTGAGATTTGTGAGCGAGCCACCCAGCTGGCAGCTCTGTCTGGGGATTGCTGCTGAGGGCATAAGGGAGAAGCCCACACACCATGAGCAGATTTGATCATCCTTATAATTACCTCCTGGGCACAGACAAGCTGCTTCTATGTTAGACAGCCAGAGGTAACTTTTTAGGAAAATTTTACACATGCTGCCTCAGGCAATATCTTTTGACCTGAAACAGCACAACCCATAGGACTTCAAAGCCACCAGCACACTCAAAAGAGGGTGTGAAAACTACCACAAAAGAGAGCAGAGAAATATGAGCATCTCTTCAAACGCAGGGTTGTGCGCAGTACGCAGTCAGCTAAATGTCAGTCAGCTAAAAATAAAACAACTTAGTGCTGCTTAGACACAGTAACAACAACTGGAATGTAAGTACTGAGAAAGGTGCACTTCCTAACACAAATTCCAGCCTCAGTCTCCCTAGGATTCATTTACATTCAGTGGGAGAGCCAGAGCCCTGCAACGAGCTGTTCTAATAATGGATTTCTAGCACATCCAGAGGGGCTGTACCCAGGGCACTAAACCTCTCACTGGAAGTGCCCAAACCCTCCATGGATGGCAAGCATTGTGCTCTGTTTCTCCCTGAAAAGCATTATGATTCTTCAGATTGATAAAAAAAAGCAATCAGTGAAAAAACAACGGATCCTGTTTAAAGTGCAGGAATCAAAAAGTTGTGCATTAAGACTTGAAAATCACGCAAGGAATGCAGGCCAACAGATGGTACCAGTTTTCAGCTTGCCTAAAGGTAATGGGAAARWAAGGTCCCCAGGCTAYAGGGAAGAGAGGCTTATCTAGAACYCTGAGAGCRGGATTTAGTCAAGTGTTTCCATGAKCACCACTTCCTCACCTTGAATTAAAAAGCTGGCATACAATTATGCYTCTTTGCCATTCATTTTGGTGTGGCATATCTACCCATTTCTGCTAGGTGAGGTATTTAGTTTCTCTCAATTTAGACATCTCAATACATGCAAAGTACATTTATACACAAAACACTCAA